TGATGCTTGGGTAGCCTCAGGACTGGACCCTCATGTAAGGTTTGGAGCAGTTCAGACAATGTTTAGCTGAAAATTGTAAAAAATGGCGTGTTCTCTTTTGACCTACAAACTTGTCATTTGAGCTACAGATTATAAATGTTCAATTCAGCGTTACATTTGAAATTCCTTCTGAATTATTTTGTATTTCCGACCTCCTCTCTAGAAAGAGTTGGTATTTGTTTGCTTTTGCCCATTTCTAATGCTATTCAACAGAAACGTACACATTTTCTGAACGTTCTATTAAAGTTCATGAGTTGTGACGTGTGTACGCAGTTTAGCGTTTGTAGCTTATTCTAGATCATGGTAAATTAAGAAAACGTCATAGGCCACGCCCACATTATTAAATCACCACGATCCATTAGATCTCATTTAATACTCGCCCCCAGAGCATGTATTTATAATTTTCTTAATTTCTGTTAGAAAGTTAAACATTTGTGTTGATCTTAGCGGGCCCTCTGGGTCCGTATCAAGTTTGAACAAATCCAATGAGTTATGAGCATTTAGTTCCATTTAGATTTATGGCGAACATGTTTTTTGACTGATCTTGCTCATTTTGAAGAGTAATGTGTGACTGTCCCCGAATGTCTTATACAAAGTATTGTGTTTACAGATTCAAAATGGAAAAGTTTGTAGTTTGTCATTAAACTGCTTTCACATTATGCTAATGAGCAATACATCTGAGTGGGCGGAGCCTGGTAGTTCTTTCTGTAAAGTGTCTTCAGCTCAATGTGTGTACCACATTTCAAGTCAATCTGACTTTTGGTGCGAGTTGTGTGGCCCTCTTGTGTGTCCCTCTTGTGTGGCCCTCTTGTGTAGCCCTCTTGTGTGGCCCTCTTGTGTGGCCCTCTTGTGTGGCCCTCTTGTGTGTCCCTCTTGTGTGTCCCTCTTGTGTGGCCCTCTTGTGTGGCCTCATGGCGCTAATTATCATTACACCTGGGTAAAACAGAGTCCATTCTCTTCGGTTCGAAACATAATCTCAGCAAATCCGACGACTTCTCAGTTGCAGTGGGCGACATTATTGTCACAAGTAAGAAGGAAATTACATACCTAGGATCTATTCTTGAGGCAAACCTCTCCTGTGACAAAATGGCATCCAATGTAATAAAAAAAGTCAATCAAAGAACTAGATTCCTATACCGGATCTCCTCTCTGGTAAACAAGAACACCCTGAAAACTCTGGCAGGAGCACTCATTCAAGGGTACTATGACTATGCTTGCACGTCATGGTACCATAGCACCTCCAAGGCGCTACAAATAAAACTTCAAACATCGCAAAATAAACTGGTCAGACTACTGCTTGACCTTTCATCTAGAACCCACCTCACCTCTGCCCACTTTGACAACCTAGGATGGCTTAGAGTAGACGACAGAGTACAGCTACTTGCAATGGGCCTGGTCTACAAGATCCACTACACCTCTATGGTACCCATGTACATGTCAAAACTCTTCCCAAAGGTCAAGGAATACCATGATCATAACACCAGAGGGAGCTCCACAAATCATGTGAAACCCAGATTTGGCACAAAAAAGGGGGAATACACGTTTCGCAATTATGCCACATCAAGGTGGAACGCTCTTCCCACAACTGTAAAGGAAAGTAAAACTATACTTACCTTCAAAACCTCTCTTAAAGAGCACCTTCGGGGGAGAGCATTGCAAAACTGGCCCCGGTAATGGTACAAATCTCAACCTGTCGTTCAATGGACAGCTTCCCCCCCCATCTATGTATATACTCGCATTTTAGACTCTGTTACTAACTGTATATCTGTAGACTTGGTATGTCTTAAATGTCCGGTTAGGATGTATTTGAACGAAATCTAAAATGTAAATTGTAAATAAGCAATCTGTATGTAAAAAAACCACCTGTATGTAAATTGTAAATAAGCCATCTGTATGTCTTATATGTCTTATATGTCTTAAATGATATGATGAATTGGAAATGGGGGACCCTGATGTAAACAAGATGAAAGTCTTTCTCTGGTCTGCATCCCCTTAACAATTGTATGTTTTGAGCTGTACTGTACTGTACCCAATATACAAGCTGTTAATAATCTTTTCAATCAATCAATCAATCAAGAGAGCCTGCTGGTCATGTCAGAATGCATTCACTACAGGACCTCAGCACTTTTACCATTCCTGACGTCTGTGCAATGTTTTACAAATCTCTGAGCATGATGAGTGCCTCAACAACTGGCTTTACCTGCAGGGACAGGCAGCAACATTGAGAGATCTATGGATACATCTCTCAAGACCCATAAGAAACAGAACTGTATATATTTCAACAGTCAATAAACCATTAGAATATGACCACAACCAATAACATAGCAAAGCCAATAACAAATCATGTCAACTTGTTTATTTAATGATTAGTATATTTAAAGTTGTGAGCGTGTTTGGGCTCCTGAATCTCAGAGCCTCTCCTCTCTCTCTCTCCCTCCTTACTAATCACTATCGTTTTAAAACTGTATGTTTGGTTTACTGTCCTATAGTATGTCATACCTGTTATTATTTATTCTGTAATTTTTGTATAACTATAATAATTATATAAAGGTGTACCTTGGAATTACTTGTTTACCTAAATGGTGACAAAATCGTTTGAGACCCACTGAGATAACTGAGCCTCTCAGTCTGACAGGACACACACACACACACACACACACACACACACACACACACACACACAAACACACACACACACACACACACACACACTGTAGAGTTATATTTGTATTTATTCATGTTAGCAAACTATGGATAAGCTTAAAATGAGAATAATTTGGGTAAAACTGTGAGCTGCATTTGGGGCCTGTTGACATGTGTTTTTGAGGACAAAGGAAGATGGGGGAAGGTGAGAGCATGTCCTGATTTGCATTCAACTTAGAACGAGCTACAGTGGTTGTGATATTAAGAGAGGTCCCTTGGGTTTCTCTGGTGCTTATCAATAGTAGCAGTTAAGTGAATACTGTTCAAACAATACCTGTGTTTGTGTTTTATATTGATTTCTCTGTTTTATCCTTTCATAAATGTAAGGACTACAAATGGCTATAAACATTCTGGGCTGGTTGGAGTAAACAGGGTTTTGTTGCTCTGTGGGGGAGGTGTAGGTATGCAGGCCTTGAGACCTTTTGTTGTAAAGTGAGCCTGTTTGGTTTCCTGCTGGCCAGAGTTGCGTCTCCCAATGAGATGACCTGAAAAGATGACCAGCTGACCTAACACCAAACCCCTCCTTCTTACTCTGGTATATATCCGGTGGATCCCTGGCGTTCGGTCTCTCTTCACATGCTGCCCCGAGCGAAAGGATCTCCGCAGCATGCGAACCAGGGCAGGAGTAAGCCGGCATTACTCCTTAAGCATTACAATATAACTGTAATATATCATGTTGTATTGTAATGATTGTATTGCATTGTCATATTGCCATTAAAGTAGATTATTGTTAACGGTTACTTTGTAGATATGGATTCCTTCCTGTATTATAACCAGCTTCATAGGAACGCGCGGAGATTTGAAAAGCGGACCAGTTATCCCTCCAAATCTCCAACAACACACACACACACACACACACACAGCTGAGCTTGAATGACACACAGAGACCCGAAAGTACTCGTACTTCAGTGGCGTTTTTATATGTACAAAATGGTGGGGCACAAACAACTTAGATGTCTATAAGCTTCTGCAGTGAGGTTCATGGCTGGTGAGGCACTGACTCTTCAGGTTTACAAATATTATATTTGGACCTAAATGAAAATATAATATTATTTTCAAAAGCTATTTTAGTCTGATGCTTCGATTAATTTTAAACAGACAGTTCAACAAAAGGATACCCAAAAAATGTAATTTTATCATTTAAATATTGAATTGTTCTCTCTTAGTAACAATTATTTTCTAAATATCCTATGGAGAAATAGCTATTTTCTAAAATCCTATGGAGAAATCTCATTGCTTTTTTGTCGAGGGAAGCCATGCGCAGCTTACTTCCTGGTTTTAGGACGCCTCACTGCAGCTCTCTCGTCTCCTCTTCACACACCACACTTTTCGCGGCACACGTACTTACAGTCAATCAGCTCTGAATGATGTGAGATGACGTATGGTGGGGATGGCAGCACTATGCCCCTATGGTCATTTTTTTTTTGCCACACACATTAAATAGGACAATACTCTGAGCATGCGCAGTGTAGTTTTTACAGTCACCGTTCACTTAGACAGTGAGAGGGAGGGGCATGATCGGGTTTTGTCCCACATGGCTCAAAACAGCTCAATAGGCACACACGGTAGACACTCATTAGAAGAACACAGACTAAAACAGCAATGTACAGAGGAATCAGATGATTAAACATGATCTTAAAATATATTTTATATTTATTTTTATTTATTTTTTTGTATTTTTTTGTATTTTTTTTGTATTTTTTTGTAATAATTATTTGTAACACTTTCTGCTGACACTAGGTGGGGCTGTGCCTCTAATGACCAGTCGCCACTGCGTGTGTCATTATTGTATGATCAGTATGACAAATGAACATATCCTGGCCTCGTCAAAGTTATGTTTAATTAAAATAACTGCTGCTACTTCTTGTTGACTAACCACGTCCTCTTCCAGCAGCTCTGGCCCCGCCCCCGAATCTTCTGGTCTGCTTTCTGTCCCCAGAACCAGAACTAAACCTGGAGAAGTTCAGTTATTATGCTCCAAACATCTGGAACAAACTCCCAGAAAACTGCAGGTACTTTTGTATCCAGGCTAAATACTTTCACTTTAATTGAACTATTCATATCTCACACTGCACTGTAACTGTTATTCATGTTTTTATACCTGTGTTAATCTATATAAGCTTGTTGTATGTTTATTTAATTCTGTTTGACTTTGACTGTTTTTAAATAACATTTTATAATGTGTTTCCGCTGCACTATTTCTTAATGCTCTTAATGTCTTTAATTTTTGCAACAGACTCCTGTGGGAGGATCCTCACCTGCTGAACTCTCTTCAGGTCCACAGAAACCCGGCTGATCTCGTCCTCCTCAGTCCTGGTTCTGCCTGCTATTCCCTTATATCTCCTTTTATTCAACAGTTTGAACACCAACTGTCGCAGGTGTGACTTCCGTGAAAGAGGAACTTGGTACTTCCGCTCTGAGTTGCAGAGGGGGGAAGGGGGCGGAGTTTGAAGTGCTGCAATAGTTTTCCACTCAGGAGGAACTTGTACAGAAAGACAAACGTATAATATGAGAGTGAGGTCTGTCTTTGTGTTTAGCACATATCTGTTTTGTTCACCCACATGCCTTTGCTGATAAATACTCTGTTTCTAAACTGAGTTGTTCTCAGGACTGCAAAGATGCACTTCAGAGAGACTGAGCCCAGTCAGTGTGAGAGGGGGTGTAGTTCTGCTAGCTGTCCACTAGATGCTGCTAACTGACCCTCTAATGAAAGACAGATCAGGGTGAATGGTCAGTGTGAGAGGGGGTGTAGTTCTGCTAGCTGTCCACTAGATGCTGCTAACTGACCCTCTAATGAAACAGATCAGGGTGAATGGTCAGTGTGAGAGGGGGTGTAGTTCTGCTAGCTGTCCACTAGATGCTGCTAACTGACCCTCTAATGAAACAGATCAGGGTGAATGGTCAGTGTGAGAGGGGGTGTAGTTCTGCTAGCTGTCCACTAGATGCTGCTAACTGACCCTCTAATGAAACACAGGTCAGGGTGAATGGTCAGTGTGAGAGGGGGTGTAGTTCTGCTAACTGTCCACTAGATGCTGCTAACTGACCCTCTAAGCCACACAGATCAGGGTGAATGGTCAGTGTGAGAGGGGGTGTAGTTCTGCTAGCTGTCCACTAGATGCTGCTAACTGACCCTCTAATGAAACACAGATCAGGGTGAATGGTCAGTGTGAGAGGGGGTGTAGTTCTGCTAGCTGTCCACTAGATGCTGCTAACTGACCCTCTAATGAAACACAGATCAGGGTGAATGGTCAGTGTGAGAGGGGGTGTAGTTCTGCTAGCTGTCCACAAGATGCTGCTAACTGACCCTCTAATGAAACACAGATCAGGGTGAATGGTCAGTGTGAGAGGGGGTGTAGTTCTGCTAGCTGTCCACTAGATGCTGCTAACTGACCCTCTAATGAAAGACAGGTCAGGGTGAATGGTCAGTGTGAGAGGGGGTGTAGTTCTGCTAGCTGTCCACAAGATGCTGCTAACTGACCCTCTAATGAAACACAGATCAGGGTGAATGGTCAGTGTGAGAGGGGGTGTAGTTCTGCTAGCTGTCCACAAGATGCTGCTAACTGACCCTCTAATGAAACACAGGTCAGGGTGAATGGTCAGTGTGAGAGGGGGTGTAGTTCTGCTAGCTGTCCACTAGATGCTGCTAACTGACCCTCTAATGAAACACAGATCAGGGTGAATGGTCAGTGTGAGAGGGGGTGTAGTTCTGCTAGTTGTCCACTAGATGCTGCTAACTGACCCTCTAATGAAACACAGGTCAGGGTGAATGGTCAGTGTGAGAGGGGGTGTAGTTCTGCTAGCTGTCCACTAGATGCTGCTAACTGACCCTCTAATGAAACACAGATCAGGGTGAATGGTCAGTGTGAGAGGGGGTGTAGTTCTGCTAGCTGTCCACTAGATGCTGCTAACTGACCCTGTAATGAAACACAGGTCAGGGTGAATGGTCAGTGTGAGAGGGGGTGTAGTTCTGCTAGCTGTCCACTAGATGCTGCTAACTGACCCTCTAAGCCACACAGATCAGGGTGAATGGTCAGTGTGAGAGGGGGTGTAGTTCTGCTAGCTGTCCACTAGATGCTGCTAACTGACCCTGTAATGAAACACAGGTCAGGGTGAATGGTCAGTGTGAGAGGGGGTGTAGTTCTGCTAGCTGTCCACTAGATGCTGCTAACTGACCCTCTAATGAAACACAGGTCAGGGTGAATGGTCAGTGTGAGAGGGGGTGTAGTTCTGCTAGCTGTCCACTAGATGCTGCTAACTGACCCTCTAATGAAACACAGATCAGGGTGAATGGTCAGTGTGAGAGGGGGTGTAGTTCTGCTAGCTGTCCACTAGATGCTGCTAACTGACCCTGTAATGAAACACAGGTCAGGGTGAATGGTCAGTGTGAGAGGGGGTGTAGTTCTGCTAGCTGTCCACTAGATGCTGCTAACTGACCCTCTAATGAAACACAGATCTGAAAAAATGAAAACTCCTAAATGCTCTTGAGATCAAGTCACACATTGAGGAGATGTTCCTTCATAGATACAGCTGTAAATATCAGCAGAAATGTTACTGAGGACAACACAGACTCTCCACATCGCGAGTGTTTCAGGTGAGAGTCACTTTTTAAAAACACAAGGTAAAATCAATCAGATCTTCTGCACTTTAAAGGGTTCTGCTGATGTTCAGGTGTATGTAACGTTGCTCTGTAACACTCAATACACGATCACATGATGTATGTAAAGGTTATTTTCAATGAGGAGGAAAACGTAGAAGGAACACAATCTGAAGTTGACTTAGCCGGCATTTTATTAAACATTAAACAACACTTTCAGCCCTCAGCTAATTCAGACAGTATAATGAAATATGGCCCACAAATTAAACTTATCATATATTGTACTACTTCAATATATATGTACAAATATATATCACGGTATTCATGTGTGCCCACCTTTCTTTCTATCTCCTCTCATTATAATCGCTCTGAAGTTTTTGTTTGAAGGAATGAGCTGCTAACTCAATAAAGTAAACCCTCTGGAGAGCTGAGATGAAGGCTGTTGTTTTTCTTAAAGCATTTTCAAGAATCAACAATCATTTACCTACTTTTGATTCATTTGTCCAACTTATAACTGAACTGATAAGGAGACATTGATCACCCAATAAAAGACTCTCTGGGGACACAGCCTTCAGAATAAAAGACTCTCTGAGGACACAGTCTTCAGAATAAAAGACTCTCTGAGGACACAGCCTTCAGAATAAAAGCCTCTCTGAGGACACAGCCTTCAGAATAAAAGACTCTCTGGGGACACAGCCTTCAGAATAAAAGACTGTCTGAGGACACAGCCTTCAGAATAAAAGACTCTCTGAGGACACAGCCTTCAGAATAAAAGACTCTCTGGGGACACAGCCTTCAGAATAAAAGACTCTCTGAGGACACAGCCTTCAGAATAAAAGCCTCTCTGAGGACACAGCCTTCAGAATAAAAGCCTCTCTGAGGACACAGCCTTCAGAATAAAAGACTCTCTGGGGACACAGCCTTCAGAATAAAAGACTCTCTGAGGACACAGCCTTCAGAATAAAAGCCTCTCTGAGGACACAGCCTTCAGAATAAAAGACTCTCTGGGGACACAGCCTTCAGAATAAAAGACTCTCTGAGGACACAGCCTTCAGAATAAAAGCCTCTCTGAGGACACAGCCTTCAGAATAAAAGACTCTCTGGGGACACAGCCTTCAGAATAAAAGACTGTCTGAGGACACAGCCTTCAGAATAAAAGACTCTCTGAGGACACAGCCTTCAGAATAAAAGACTCTCTGAGGACACAGCCTTCAGAATAAAAGACTCTATGAGGACACAGCCTTCAAAATAAAAGACTCTCTGAGGACGCAGCCTTCAGAATAAAAGACTCTCTGAGGACGCAGCCTTCAGAATAAAAGACTCTCTGAGGACGCAGCCTTCAGAATAAAAGACTCTCTGAGGACGCTCAAACTTTGTTACTTTTCCTAAAAAAACGTACCCCTAGGGGTCCGCGTACCCCCATTTGAGAACCACTGCCATAGATAATAAGAGACCAGATAACAGGGGAAAGAGACATTCCTTGAAGGAAGAGGGAGGGGGTGCTGAGTAGCTGGCAGCCCCTCCCAACAGTGTCCTCACTGCTCAGGGACCCCCACCTTGTTACCAGTTCCAGGGCAGTAACAGAGTAGAGATTGCACACCTACCTCAAGAGTCAATGTCATGCATATCATCAGTTATTCTGGTCCATATCCTTTAGGAGAGTGTGTTATGATGATTATCAGTTCATTTTGTGATTATCATTAAAATAGATGTTAATTCTTGCTTGAATTGTGTCTTTCTGTCTTTACCAGCTGGGAAAATAACTTATGTTAACCACAGAGCTGATGCTTGAAATTCATTTTTTTTTGTTCTTGCCATACTAGTGCTTAAAATAAGGCTTCTAGCCTTGAAGTGGATGTTTTATAGACAGGTCCCTTGTATCTAGTTAAACATAACTAAAATAAAGACAAAGTTGCTTATCAAGACAAGGCAAGTAACATTTACTTGAATTAAGTCAAAAGATCTTCCATAGAAAGCACTAGATAAGCTATTTAAACTCAAATCAAGACAAACTAGATTTAGAATCTAAATATAAGATTATTACACTTGGTTAGATCTGCAGTTTTTGCAGTGTGGTCATTATTTTTTTGCCACACACATTAAATAGGAAAATACTCTGAGCATGCGCAGTGTAGTTGTTGTTTCACAGTCACCGTTCACTTAGATCAGGGGTATTCAACTAAAATTCAACGAGGTCCAGTTAGAGAAAATGTCCCATGCAAAGGTCCGGAACATCAAAATGTCTAAGTTGCTTTATGAATTAGTGTGATATATATTGAAGTAGCTGTAGCTTTATCAACGTCTGCATGTAATCAACAACTAACTGCCAATCAAATAAAGAAAGTACAATTCAAAAACAACAATATGTATTGTCAATTAACATTGAACTACAGATATACAGTAAATACTGTGGATATGTGTAATGTTCCTCTCGGGCTGCATTTAAAAATAAAATAGAGAAAATAAATAAAATAGCTTTTGAAAATATGTGCATCTTAAAAGTGCTTAATTTTAGATAAATAAAATAAAGTGTAGCAGCAGCTTGAGTTTCCCTTTTTCTTTGTTAACCATTTCACATCATGACTTAACAGTTTCAGCCGATTATAGAACAATATCAGTCTTTACATCATAACCATTGAACAGTTTAAAAGTTTCTCTTTCTTTCCCTCTTATATTGCAGTCCCTCTCTCACTTTTTTTTAATTCAGTACGAGAATTGAGCTCGAGCTTGTCCTGCCAGGAGTTTAAATCTGGGCTGAAATGGTGTCAGGGCCATTCTCATACACACATGCAGGTGCTCATTGGTTAGACTCGGTTAGCCTGCCCTGGAACGATATTTAGTTGTTTTTTTATCCTGGTGGACAGATCATATTGGGCTCTGAGACTGCTTATTTGTTGTGACCTC